GAGAGCGAGCGCATATACTACTGAGAGACAAAATATCATTTCTCAAGTGGAAGTTACATAAGTAGATTGTTTTGATGCATCAAAAGAGTGCACTTGAGCAGCAGCAGATTGCAAAGCTTCTGATAGCTGGGTACGGTGTCACTGGGGTGCAATTTGATTGGCATTGCCAGGCATCTGTTCCACCCCCCTCTGCTTAATTTTTTGGAAAATGTAAAAATTTAGTAAAATGAAATATAGCCAATAATAACACCAACAATAAAAAGTACTCATAAAAGTTATTGTCATGTCCAGAATCTTCAAAGACGAACAGTGCAAGTAGCTGTAAATTGCCTAAATGTACACTTGTAGTCAAATTTTCTGCCCCCTCCCCTTTGAGGGGAAACCGATGATGCCCATGCTGGTATTTATAATTTCAGGCTTTGTCTTGTAAAGTTTATTGTTTCTGTGTTATACACAAGATACCTTTCATAAAATTGCAGAATTTTCACAGTGTGGAGAGGATTTATAGTTCTCACAAGGGTAAAAGTAGTTAAAGAAGCATCAGGTGACTTTTAGAATACAGTGATAAGTGTATGACGTTTTTGCTTGGAAACGTTTTTTTAGTTTCTATTTTTTTATGTTTTTGAGAGGGTTTTACTGTGTTGCAAGTTAATTGCTAGTGTTTATTGCATTACAGTAGTGTTTCATGTAGGATTTTAGAGTGGTACTGGTGCAGTAAAATTCACGAAGTAATTTTGTACATATTTATTATTTCTCTTCAGAGGAAGAACAGGATAAAGAACTTATTACGATATTTTGAAGATATTCTCAAGTATCACGCTGTAGGGTTGTACAGGATGCATGCATGTAAAATTGCACATATTCTTGATATTTGCACTAGGATGAGGTGAGTGGTCAGCATTAGGCTTTGGCCATCTAAATCCCACAAAGAAATCCTATAGTGCTGGGGACACAGTCATAGCAATAAAAGAAAGTATTATGCACATCTTGGGAATTTAAATCTCCTTCAACACTATAACTGTTCACTTTACTGACCAAGCTGTCCTAACTCACCTTTCATTTCAGGTAGTAATTTATAAAGTGTGTTCTGCACAACTCCAGTGACTGTAAGAACTCTGAACATATATATGTAACATAATTTTTACCATCAAGGCAACAATACTTTTTTTTATATTGTTGCATCAATGGTAAATATATATATATATATGTTCACTGTATATATGTAACAGGATGCAATCCTTAAAAATAATAAATGCTAGTCAGGCAAGAAGCATGAATAAATGCCTGAATATTAAACACAAATTATTGCACTGTAACTCGAACATCCATTTTAACAGAATATGTATAGAGCTTAAATTGACACAAAAATATGCAAAGACAAAAATAAAAATAAAATCACATAATAAGACAATGTAAAAAAAGTATTGTTGTGTTGATGGTAAAAATTATATATATATATATATATATGTTCATTGTATATACATAACAGGATGCAATCTTTAAAAATGATATTAACTTTGCTAATTGAGGCATGACAAGGTACACACACAAAGACTAGACCATAGCTCAGGTGGTTTAATGCTGACTTCTCAACACAGAAGCCTCAGTTCAGTCCCGTGCAATTTATGTGAGATTTCTGTTAATGGAAGTGGCACTCATAAAGGTAGATCTTAACCAAATATTTTATTTTTTGACAATCAAATATCTTTCCAGTGGCATTTCGAACTTGTCATCATCATCTACACTTCAGTGATGACTTAAAGATCATTCCTTTCACCATTTAGCTCTCTCTGCTTAAAAACATCATTGACTGACAGTCATGTGTTGTCCAGGTACATTGGTACCAGATTTATTTCTGACTTCTGGTCCATTGCCTCATTGCAGCTGGCCACATTTTTACTATTTAAATACTGAAGGTGAAATGAAAACGTGAAACATTTGTCCAAATTGAGGGTTGCTGTGTTACATGTAGGTGAGACCAGGGATCATTAAATCATGTCATGACTGTACAGTATTGACAGGACTTGCGAGACAGCGCATTATTGTAATAACAATCCCCACCTGGAGATTCATCTGTTATCCACCACTTGACTGGGCTCAGAGGAAGCAAGTGTAATTTAGACACAAACTGTGTTGTAGTGTAATTGCTTCTTTTTTCAGGGGGTTTTTACATGAAGCCTGAGGATGGCAATGTGTACACCACTCTGGAGCCAACCCTATCGAGCAACCCTAATGTATTCTTCCAGAGGAGTGGGGTTCACCCTGGTATGATGTACTGAGGTAGAATTCAATTCTTAATTTATTGTATTTCCTGTCTTGTTACTGACTGACTTATGAACTAAGTAGTTAGCTAGCTAAAAAGCTGGTTAAGTTTCTACCTTGCTCCATGGTACATGGTTTTCTTTGCACAAAGATTCGTGATTTCTGCTGCCTTGTGTATTTTGAAATGTTAATTACTGCGTTTGTATAGCCTGCCATTGATCTCTATCCCCAGGTAGTTCAGGCCAGTTCACATTTTTGCACCCTGTTTATGGGCCAGGACTTGTTGTCACTCTCACTCTGTTCACTCTTCTACCCTGAAAATGGAAGCAGCAAGTTCCTCTGAAATGTTGGTAACAGACTACACACCATGATATCCAAGAAGACAGTAACCTTCAGAAACGCTGTTATGACAGCCTCAACACACACAAATATTTATCTACTTTCAGTCATGCCCTGCCCATCTTATCCTTGATTTAATCATGCAAATACTATTAGATCGACTGCCTCTGTGGTCTAGTGGTCAGAGTTCCTGGCTACAGACCCAGAAGTCCAGGTTCGATTCCTGCGCTACTAGATTTTCTGAGAAGTAGTGGGTCTGGAACAGGGTTCACTCAGCCTCATGGGGATAATTGAGGATCTATTTCAAGGAAATAGTGGCTCCAGTCTAGAAAACCGAAATTAACAGCCATGGGGATTGATTGCACTGACCCCACTACACCCTTTATCTGCTGAAGCTGGCACTAACTTTGCTGACAAGTGGCAGTTCGCTTGGTCAGTATAATCCGCTTATGGACTAAAACCATTGAGTTTTAGTTATAGATGCTATTACAAAAAGGCTCCAAATTGTGAAGTCCTATATTTTCTGCAGCTTAGCTCTGAGTTGAAAGTTAACTTATAATTCTGTAAATCAGTGAAAAATTCCAGTTTTATTGTGAGCATTAAAAGGATCTGTTACAAGAAATTATTAAGTATCATTGCAAGGTGCCAACTTCTGCCTCAAGAACAATTAAACATAACATCTGGAGATGCTGATAACAGTTTATTTTTATTTAAGATCCTTGTAAGGTATTGTAAATTACAGAAATTATGGCCATAATGCCAAAGAAAGGAGATAACAAAGGATGATGGAGATAAGTGATCATAGTACTGTCAGTTCTGTGTAATTCGAATGCATTGCCTGTTGTGTTGTTGCCACAGTAACATTTCTGTTGTGTCCATCTTCTGGTTACTTGAGCTCCATCTGAACATTCATTTCCTTTTTTAGCCCACTTTCCTTATTTTTAAAAAATAAAAGTAGGCCATCTCTGTCCTGTCTGTGCATCTCCTCCTATCAACTTTTGAATGCCCAAACCAGTCTTTATGAAACCTGGCATGTATATCGTGGCACCTATGCCCAGCTCAACGGTGTACTTTGTAAATCCCTCCCATCAGTCTGTGTGTCTGTATGTGTATTCCCCCGTCATTGCTAGGCAAGGGCTCAGTGTACATGTTCGTGTTGCATAAAATACATATAACAATAGAAGTACACAGAATTACTGGGGTTTTGGACGTGTTCCATTGACCAAAACTCCAGTAATTCTGTGTGTCATCCACCATCATCAGAACCCTTTAGAATCTAACAGAAGAAGTATTAGAAGCATTATCTTCTGTGTGGTCTGTGGGGTATCAGAGGAGAGTCTGAGAGTCTGTGTATTTCCTTATTGTTGTGCCTTCCAACCTCACACTATCACCTTACCATGTCTGTTTAATTTACAGTGCAGTGCACATACTTAGCTCAAGTATATAGACATTATATGGACAAAAAAGCACCATTTTAATAACATCCAAAATTGTCCCTTTTGCTGTTCATGTCTAAATGTGATATATATAGGAATTATGTTAACCCTCAATGCAACAAATATATTCAGCTTTAATGTTTTACAATTCGTTCTTATTCCTGCTACATATTTCAGTCATATAAGACCATCATCAGGCAGTTATATATAAGAATACATATAGTTATTGAACTACCGATATGGATCCATACCAGTGCAATGTGTCGTATTATATACTAACATAAAATTATTGCCTCCAGTTGGTGTTACAATTAAAGTAGAAGATATAAAATAAGATAAAAGATAAAATATAAAAAGTATACCATATATAATGTGTTCAATATATTATGGAATATTAAAAATATCTAAAGTATTTTAGAAACTATATATTAAAAAAGTTTTTTAGTATGGTAGGTTAGGAAATATGTATGCCAACTTAAATACTAAGGTTCCAATGCTACAGTGTAGAAATTGGGCATTATGTCATTTGTAGGTTTTGTTGTAGAGCCTTTGTTCATAGTAAGCCCAGCTGTGGAGCCCAGAGACAAGTTCCTGTGATGTATGGGTTGTTAGTGTGTGGTATATTAGGTATGCAATTTTCCTGATATGTTTCGTTATATAATAATGCAATATGGCGTATGCGTTTCTTATCTGGGTGTATATATTGGTGTGTTCTACACTTTGCGTTGGTGTGATGTAAACATTAAAACTGATATATTTGTTGTGTTGACGGTTAACATAATTCCTATATATATCTGAAACATAAAACAGGATGCATCCAATGAAGATCTAAATATGATATTTGATAGCCTAAGTAATGAAATTCATTAACTTGTTCCATTTTATATGCATGTTCAGTATATAATTTTTAACGTTTGTTTTCTGTTTCAGATATTCCAGTCAGCTTACATGTGTGGTGATATGAACTTAGAAAATGAGTAAGTGTGTATGTGACAGAGACACAGTGTGAAAATGATCTCTCCCACATTGTTCTTGAACCAAGATGAGTGTAAAGCGTGTACAAATTCTAGTATTTTATATTACTAATTTACATTGTAGTACAGTAATCTGTACAGATATTTATCAGCATGATTTTAAGCAACGAAAAACATTTAGTAGTGTTTTTATACTTCATTATTAAAGTCTAACTGTAGTGATTTAGTAGGCATGTCCAGTTCAGAAAGTTTACTAAAAATTAGTCAGTTAAGAATATGAAGCTTTAGGAACGAGGCCAGCTGGTCCATATATGTGAGACTGAGGAAAGTGGCATAAAAGTGTCTTGTACAGCATTCAGTCTGGATTAAATTCAAAGCTTTGGAATACTTGCGTTTTTGTTATATATCTATCATTGACTGAAAAAAAAATGATAGTGTTCCTATCCTAGTTCTTGCACTCATTCTGCCCTTTCTCAACTAGCTCTTGATCTTGTATTAGTGTCTTTGCCAGTGTCACTTACTGAAAATACTCTACCCAGGTTTAATCTTACAATTGAACCTCCCGAATCCACATCTCTGCCCTGGTAGTGGTACTGGTATTGGCTGGGGGAAGGGGGGGGTACTTCAGTCACACCAAGCACTCAGATCACTGCTGGGTCAGTTGCATACCTCTGAACTTGTATTATATACATATAATACAATTGTATGTATGTGTATATATTTATACAGGGTGTATCAAAACTCAACGGTAAAACTTCAGGAAAGGACTCCTCATATAGAGAGAAGAAACAAAGTGTATGACAACATGGGTCTGGAAATGCATAATTACAGAGTTATCTGAGCGTGTTATTTATGGAGTGCAAGGCGACATGTCCTGTTTGCTGAAATAAAAATGCGAGACACAATTGTTACACAAGTAATTGTGTTGTGAATCAATTTGAGGTGGGCCTGAATACATCTAGGATGCACAGATGATGCCCTGTCGTCTCCAGTTAAGTAGCTGAAGCCATATCCGAAAGGTGTATATGACATCTGTTATCTGTGATTGTTAAGTGTTGCTTGAAGTCTGCTCTGAAGTGATATGTAATATACACAAACGAATAACTTGCGAGCATGCATTACATGTATGGTTTGGTGGATGGTAATGCTTCGGAGGCACGTCGCTTGTATCAGGAACGCTACCCAATGCACAGACTGCCAGACCGAAAGACATTTGAAGGAATTCATCTCCGCCTATGTGAACATGGGAGTTTCGCACGTCCACCGGGCCCAGGGGAACGGCCAAGAAGCGCAACCCCTGAGGACAAGGAAGATGTACTCAACGCTGTGGATCGAAGTCCTGGAGTCAGCACAAGGCAGTTAGGCCTGCAGAAGAATATCCTGCACATGACGATCTGGAGAGTGCTAGGAGAACAGCTCTTGTATCCATATCATCTACAGTGTGTACAAGCCTTGTCTCCTGCGGATTATCCTGCAAGAGTAACATTCTGTCGGTGATTCCTGCAAAAATGTGGTGCGACACCTAATTTCGCAGCTGTTGTGTTGTTCATGGATGAGGCGACATTCACAAGGGACAGAATCCAAAATTTTCATAATCAACACGTGTGGGCGGACACAAATACCCGAGCAAGTATCCAATCGTCTCATCAACGGATTCGCCATTAGCATCTGGGCAGGCATTGTTGGTGTTTGTTTGTTGGGACCCTACGTTCTTCTGGACAAGCTTAATGGGCAGAACTACCCAGATTTCTTGCGTAATACATTGCGTGATTACTTGGAAGACATGCCACCAGCATCCCGTCAACAGCTGTACTTCGTGCATGATGGTGCTCCTGCACATTTCAGTCTGTCTGCCCTCAGGCACCTTAATGCACATTATCCTGGGCGCTGGATAGGTAGAGGTGGACCGATTGCTTGGCCACCATGCTCTCCTGACTTAAACCTCCTGGACTTTTACCTGTGGGGGCACTTAAAATCTGTCATGTATTCGACTGCTGTTGCTGAAGTACCAACTCTCCATGCATGCATTGTGGCAGCCTGTCAGACAGTATGCACTACACTGGGCATTTTTGATTGTGTACGGCACTCAATGCGACAACGAGCGGAGGTCTGTATTCAGGCAGGAGGGCACTTTGAACATTTCCTCTGATACGTGACCAGAGTGTTCCAGCTGGCATTACAGACATATTCAGTGTAACAATGCAACAGTGTTGGGAGTGTCAGATTGCACTAATGTTACTAAGAGGACCGATAACTCTGTAATTATGCATTTCCAGAACCATGCTGTCATACACAGTAGACCACTAATGAAGTCTGTCCTGTAATTTGGTTTTTGAATGCAGGAAATGTGTTAGAGGCACAAAATATATCACCAGCTAATGGAAGATTATGCCAAAGATGTTGTAAGTCGGCAGAGTGTAATGAAATATGCAGAGAATTTCAAGGTAGAGGAATTAGCACAGAAAAATGTGAAAAGAGCAGCAGACCTTGAATCACAAGAACTGCTAACATCACACTTGTGGAAAATGCAATGCACAACAGGATTAGGGTAAGCAAATTGCGACATGATTTGAATCTATAGAATGGAACACTCATCAACATCGTTCAGGACTTAGGATTTAACTATGTGCACACTGGGTGCTCACGAGCATGGAATGGAAACAACCCATTTCTCGATGATCAGAATTGTTCAGGATTGTGAGGTCCACTGGCAAAGTGATAAGCTACAGTAATTTGGGATCACAAAGGCATTTTGCCTTTGCAACAAAGCACAACAATCCATGCAGCAACTTACTGTGCAAAACTGATATGTTCACAAATAGCCATTAAATGAAAATGCACCAGAATTCTCTGAAAGGTTGTTCTGTTTCTGAATGACAGTGCATGGTCAGTGTCTTGGATACCGAACAACTTTTAGAGTTTCCAGTATGAGAATTGGAGCATCCTTCACATAGCCCTGTTCTGGTTCCTGGTAATTACTGTCTTCTACCAGCATAGAACAAACAACCGGGAGACCACATGTTTCAAAGTGATGACATCACAGAAACAACAGTGAAAGTATGGCTGAGTGAAAAGGGCATGGACTTCTACCAACAGCCAACAGAAAAACTCATCTTAGAATATGAGAAGTGTCTCAGTTTTTGCAAAGACTGTGTTGAAAAGTCGTGGGATGACATCAATATTACTCATAATTCTTCATTATATGCCTTGCAAACTTATTTTCTGACCACCCTCATATAGCACACAGACTCACAGACAGAGTATTGACTCCTGGGACCAACCATACACTGGCAGCAGTAGCAGCACATATGTTCAGAAGCTTTAGTCAACAAAAATATACACTCATTTACAGGAAGTTGTTTGCCTGAAGAACCTCAGAATGTGTGCAGTCAAAGGTTGGTGCTCTTTCATGACAGTGCCCTTACACAGTGATCACTGCTTGTGCAGCAGTACCCCACAACCCCCTAATTTCTCCATTTCATACTATGTGATATATACTTGGTACCTTGTGCAGGTGGGTTAGAATACCTTCACTATAGCCCTGTGAGTCACAGAAGGTGACGAAAAGGGATCCCGGTGCCTGGGGGTATAACTGGATCACTCTGTCACTGTTGAACATAAATACAGAAACATCAGCCTCCAGGTTGGGGTTTGGAGGCAAGGCTAAAGATCTTGCTCTTTAAAAAAATAATGTTGTGAAATGCAAAGAAGTGAAAGCCAGATGGTATAATTCATGATTGAATAGACAAGCCTGGCAGAATGTTCTAAGGAAGGCTATGACTCACAAAGGGCTGTTGTGCCAATGATGATATTTACTTGCTTCCAAAGATGAAGATTAACTTAAAGACTGTCAGTCCAAAGAAGCCATGGAAGTTCAACTAACTGTGAGGAATGCAATGCATGGGGCCATATGTGACAGCTTGAAGAAATTTTCAAACAGCAGCATCAGAAACCACTCCAGGTTCTAATGATAATATATTACACTTGG